GGGCTTGGTGTTGCTTTTAGCAAAATATGTGGGTGGGGAAAGAAAGAATGTGTGTGAATGCCCTTTTCTGGAAATAAATATTTGGAGGAAAATGTGGCTACTGAGTTAGTGTAACACAGGGAGAAAAAAAATCCAATTGTTTCTGGGGCTGTGGCAGTAACTTTAGAGTGCTGAATGTCACTTAGTGATGCCAGGGAAAGGCACCTGAGTCTGGATCTCAGCAGCATCAGTGCTCTGCCTTTTCATTCGGGGATTGCCAGACACTCTCTGCCTTGTGCTTTCAACGTGCCTGGTCAAGGCTGGGCTTCTGGGACATTTCATCTTCCGCAGACTCATGCATCCATTTCTCCTGTCCCTCCCTATTCCAGAGAACAGCCCATCTTCACCACCAGAGCCCATGTCTTCCAAATTGACCCCAGCACGAAGAAGAACTGGGTCCCCGCAAGCAAGCAGGCTGTAACTGTTTCCTACTTCTATGACAGCACGAGAAACAGCTATCGGATTATCAGTGTGGATGGAGCCAAGGTAGGAGGCTGATGGTTCCCCAGCATGTTTACTGTGCGGAGAGGTGTGTGACTGTCAGCCCTGGCTGAAGACAGGCATAGAGGGGCTGCATTAAACACTGAGGCTCATAAATACTCATTTTTTTAATATAATCCATCATAAAGGCTTGTAGTGATAATTGGAAAAACACAGGGCACCCTAAAAGTGATTTTGCCTGACTTCATTGATTTTATCTCTGACTAATTTGACTTCACAATCGTAATGAGCCAAGAGCTTTAAATGTCCAAATTGAGTTTGTAGCACAGTATCTAAAACAGCCTATATTAGGTAGATAAGGTTGAGGCTTTTTTGGTTAAAAAATGTTCTTTTTGAAGGGAATGAGGAGACATGCTTGTAGACTAGAGCTTTTAATGTAAATGCCAGCTGCATATTCTGTTTTGCCTGGCAGAACTATTTACAGGTTAGTACTTAATTTCTTCAGCTTTCTTGCTGGAGTTCATAAGCCTTAGGTGACAAGTTAGGCATGAAGGGTCTCCCCCACACTTTTTTTCTTACTTTGTTTTGCATTGCTAGAGTGTGCTGAAGTATTTCCTGTAAGAATCCCAATCAGTCAGAATGAATAGGTTGCTTAGTCAAGTGTTTTTATTACATACTGCATTTATTAGTCCCTCCAAAGTCATTTGATGGGTGACTGCTTTCCCCTAGGAGATCCCAGTCAGAGGTATAAGCGAAAGCATTTTACTCATGTACAAAAATCATTGGTCATTTCTGTCAAAGCACAAACCACAGGGTGAGGAGACAAGTTAAAGCCTGTTTATCTGTGTTCCTGTTTGGATGAGGATGTTTAAATATCACTGTCCTGGGAGACAGAGATCACAGAAATCATCCCTTAATAAAGCTTTTCTATTTGTCATGCCTATTTCACATACTTGTTTTTCCAAACATCTCCTGTGCTATATTTGGTTATATATTGGCTTATAAATCAGGCCTACTGCTTGCTTAAATTGATGGTAATGTTTCATTGACACCAGCGCAGCATTAATACATCCCCATCATTATGCTGTTTGTGCTGGTGTCTTCACTCCCAGAACTGCCAGCTAACCACCCTGGCTGCTGTGGTTTGCAGCTTGCTGGGGCAAGCTGAGCCCCCCCAGATTTACTTACACCCTGCAGATGCATCTGCTTGGGTGAAGCTGGTGCTGGTGATAGTGGACTGTTGACTTTACAAACCCAGGCGAGCGTGACTTCCAAGTCAAAACTGCTGTACTCGCAGCAGTGGGTCGCTTGATTTGTGGATGTGCATGCATGCATTAAGACCAATTAATGAAAACAAAGTAATTACTCTATGTGGTGGGGGAAGCTGCAGGGCAGTGTATGCCCACAGCCAGAGGTCTTGCCCAGAACTGCAAAGTGTGTGCTGAGAACAAGGTGGGAATCCAAGCTTTGCTTTGTAATCTGCCCAAAAGACATCCAGAAGGAACAGTCCCCCCAGCTCCCCACCCCCAGTTTTAGTATGTCCCAGAAGAAGGTGAGCTTTCCATGATTACAATTCTCCCCTGGGGCTTCCTAAGCAAGAATCAATTGCTGGCCACATAAATTATTCCTCTTGTATTGAATCTTTGCTGATTAAGGAACAGGTCAAGAAGAGATGCTGCCTTCACACTTGCCTCTGGAGAGCCCTGCTACCCTGCCTGGCCATTTTAAGAGGACTAATTTGGAAAAACAATGGTGTTTATGCCCAAAGAAGTTAAAAGTTGCTTTTTTTTCCCCCTCAAACAACTATTGTTTAGTGTTTTGACCTACTTTTCGAGGCAGAAATGAAACTGCATAGGACTCTGAGGAAGAATATAGACAGCATCAGTTGGTGTTGTCCTGCTTTCTGTACATCTCACTTATTAGAATAAAGTCTTCTGTGCCTTGGCAAATACCAGATGGATCAGCATCACTGTAGGCAGGAGTTACCACTGTTTTAAGGACAAAAAGCTGAAGTTCAAGTAAATGAAGGGACTTGGCCCTAGAAGGAAGGTGGTGATGAAGGACATGTATCTCTTACGACTCTCTATTCTTGGCCAAACTGCAAAGGGGCAGTTCTAAAAGTTTATTTTGGACAAACACATACAATGCACTTTGGCTCGCAGAGAAAGCTCAGTTAAATCCAACCCATACAGCTGTTGGATTAATTCTGTGGGATTTTTTACCTTATGTTGACATGACATAGTAACAATAAAAATATTTTAAAGTGGTCAAGTGGACCTCGCTTAAATATTGTTCACCCCCTGGTTGCATAAGCTTTATTTTACTTTTAGCATTCAAGGTGTGGCTCAGGGCAGAGTGTGGAATTGCAGTGTGCTCAGGAGCATTGGGCTGCTGGAACCCGTTAGCGCCGCTGTCATGCTGAGCATGGGGCAGGCTATGTCATGTCACCCTGGTGAGGAGCTTTCTCCTGATGCAGCACTGACCTGATGGGCTGCAGTTCTCCCAGGAGTGGCTTCCTCAGGCAGCTGCTGCTGTCCTCAAAGGTCCAGACCCTCTGCAGTGCCTTGTCCTTCAACCTCATTCTCTCTTCTCCCAGCAGACGTAGCCTGTCCCTATCTCCTCCCTGTCCCTTGTCACACACCTGGGGTGCAGGAGGATGAGGAGGGGTGCTGCAGGGCAGAGGGGAGCAGAAGGATTTAGCAGTGGGCTTAAGGGGAGGATTCAAGGAACCGCTGAGCCTGTGTGTTTAACAGCATAAATATTGGGAATTCATTTTTGTGAGCCTGGCTGGCAGAGGAGCTGCTTGGCTCTGTTGCCCAGCACAGTACAGCACTGCCTTTGGGTCCTTATCCCTTTGCTATGTGGTGGGGAAGGACAGGAGGGCCTGGCTGGTATGTGTGGGGGTGGTGAGGATGGACATTGCAGCAGAGGAAAATGGGATAGAAACAGAGTAGGGTAAAGAGTGGGAGCAGAGTGAAGTCAAGGGAGCTTAACTCTTCCCTTGCAAAGGGTTATGCAAGAGTCTTATGCAGAAAACCAGGAGTCTGATACGGGAGGGCAGGCAAGAGAGAGCGTATGTCTTCAGGCATCAGGTTCCTTCCAAATCCTCCTAGCCCAACGACAAACAACCCCATTGAAATGCCTGGGGAATCAAGCACTGAACAGTGGAGACCCTAGATTCAAACCAGCTTGTACCACTTTAATTCCTTGTGTTTGCAAAGCTGGAGGGGAACAGCTATTATAATTCCTGCGTCTTTGACAGAAAAACAGGTGCTGTGGACAGTAGCTTACAATTTATAGCAAAAGATTTCACAGATACCGTATAATGATGATCTTAACCAAGATACCATGACCAAACAAGGGAATAGATTAGTATATCTTTTAATTACATTATAATTGACTTGTATGTTGTCGAGAAGGTAATTTCATCATGATGTTTTAAGAAGTTTCTAGCCAGAGGCTAACTGCAGCTTAATGAATGCTGGAGGAAATGATACAGTAAAATGCAAGGGCACACACTGATTTGGAGTTAATGAAGCAGCAAGGAGACTTCACCATGTGAAAGTGCCCAGTGTTGTGGGCAAAAGTCAACCCCGTTGAAACATGACAAAATACAGTGATGGTGCAGGGAGAACATGAACTTGGAAGTGTCTGATTGCTGTGCAGTGTGTGGGGAAAGCCACACACAGGGCTCCTCATTAAAAGTGACCTACATTGCGCTGCCTTTTGGAGGCAAAAAGAAAGTTTGACAGTATGAAAATTACATGGACCAATAGCCTCTGATTTCCTCAGGAGTAGTGCATGGTAGTGCCCTGGTTGGTGGGTTTATTTTTTTTATAAACTGGAATTATTTGTTATCCAAACAATATAGAGAAGGAGGAAATGAAATTTGTTTCTCTATGGAAATTGAGGAGATAGAATCCCTTGGAAACAAGCTTCTTCCCTCATTATCAAATGTTCATAAGTTATATTTCTGCAGAACTTGTGATTGCAACAGCATCATTTTTCTCTTTTGAGAAATGAGTTGTTAATAAGGAACATAAAGCTAGTTTAAAAATTAATAGTTGTCTGTAAAGTGCATAGTGAGACATACTGAGTTGGCAGCAGCAAAGAAAAGTGACGCAGCAAAAGTCATCTCAGATGCCAGTCCTGAGTTGTCTCTGATAAATGCTTAAACAGATGACTAGAAAAAATTAAAATCAGGGTTTAAAAGATGACTAGATTGCAAGAGTAATTTTGTGCTAAATATATGACACAGAAATAAAGAATATGTTTCAAAAAAAACCAACCTGTCATCTGACACTCACTCCCAGTTACTAGATCATTGAAGACTTTATTACCTGACAATTACCTCAAAGATGGGGGATCAGCAGCTAAGTTGGGCATAAGTGAAAGTATTGAGGAGAGAACCAGAAAAATTGCTGTGCTGGGAAAGCAAAACCAGTGGGTCTATTTCTGAAGTAAATTGCAATTAGTAAGAATAAGAATATGGGCCAAATTCTGCCAATCAGTATTCACATAGTGTTCCCCAAAGTGAATACAGTACATTATATCGTGTGCTGAAGCTGATTATGTGGCATATATGCAGCGGACAGTGATTTCCAGAGCAGAATGAAGCTGGCAGGGCAGAGCCCCAGCAGCCTGTGGTAGCTGATATTTAGGGATATAAGAAGGGGTGATATGTAAATCTGCTAATATTTGATGTATTTCTGGCTTTCTCAGTTCCTGTACCAGTCCTAATTGCAGCCTAATTTAATAGCTGCCCACCTCTTAATGACCAGGCTTTCCTTGTTGTCATGACTGTCCTCAGCACACAGAGAGGAAATTCTTCCAGTGATGTGTTCAGAGACTCAAAACAGATCATTTTCTTTGCCTATGGAAAAGGAATTATTTTAAGGCATAGTTGTTAAAAATATCCAAGAGTATTTTGCCAAAAGGTGACTGTTGGGTTTAAGAATCTTTTCTTTCAGAGGAAAAAAATTGCAGGCTATGGTAGCACAAATGAAATTCCTTCATCTGGCTAGTTCTCTTTGTTCTTTTTTTTT